TGCCCAGGCGGGTCTTGAACCCGCGAGCTCAGGCAATCCACTTACCTCAGCCTCCCAAAAGTGCGGGATTACAGGCTGAGCCACCGAGCCTGGCTCCTTTTCACTCTTTAGAAGTATAGACTATGATGTATGCCCTGTTTGTTTATTATGGTCAACATATTCATTGTATTGTCCTTTTGTTTTTCTGCAGTAATGTGTGTGGCTGGTATTGGACTCGTTGTATTATTCTTCAGTTGGATGCTCTCTATTTTCAGATCTAAATATCATGGGTATCCATATAGGTATGATTCTTATTTTTTATTTATGCAATGATTAAAGTTGATGTTGCTTTATAATATTTTCATTTTTTGCTTTGCTTCTAAACTATTCTAGCCTTTAAAGGAATGAGATAGGCTTAAGTTTGGATATATTGCATATAAAATTAATTTAGGATAGTTATGATATAATGGGCCATAGTAGTATATAATTTCTCAGGAACATCTTTCAGGGTTATACTGGCATTACCTAGTTTAATCCAAAAATCTATAACGTGTAAAGATTAGAACATTTTATACCATATCTATTCACACAGTTCATTGTCTGCATAGTATACTTCCTCTTAAGGGAGAAAATCTTTAAATGTTTTAAAAAACGCATCACTTCTGCTTTGGAAGGCTGTTTAGATGGCATAAACAAAATGATTGAATAGAATCCAGTTTGCAGAGAATATAAAGTGTTTAAGAAGATCTAATCAGTTTGAAATGTTCATAGAGATCTCTAAGGCTCAGGGAAGAAAATTTTCTCCTAATTATAGGTTCTTGATTTTACTCTGTTAATAGCCAAGAGAAATGTATCTACATAATGGAGGAAGTGAGTATCGGTTAATACAGTTCCCATTTTTAATACATTACCCTCTTGTATAAAGGATTATGAATACTAAAGGTGAAACATATCAACTGATATTTTTGAGATGCAAATTCATTCTTTATATTATTTTGGGGGTGGGGAGGACGTCAGGGTCTCACTCTGTCACTTAGGCTGGAGTGCAGAGACGCAATCACAGCTCACCACAGCCTCTATCTCCTGGGCTCAGGCAAGCCTTCCGCCTTAGCCTCCTGAGACCAGCCTGAGCAACGTGGCAAGACCTCGTCTCTACAATAAATCAAAAAATTAGCCAGGCATGGTGGTGCATGCCTGTGATTTCAGCTACTTGGAAGACTGAGGCAGAGGCATCGCCTGAGCCCAGAAGGTTGAGGCTGTGGTGGCCGTGAGCATGGCACTGCACTTCAGCCTGGGCAATAGAGTGAGACTCTGACTCAAAAAAAAAAAAAAAAAAAAAAGTAAATCTTATTTTTCTTTCAGAGACTAATAGATTGGTATATATTTTTGTTTCAGCTTTTTGATGAGTTAAAAAGGATCCCAGAGATATGTAGACATTGGAATAATGGAAAGTGAAAAACGAAAAACGTGTGTGTGTTTGAAAAGAAGAATGCAACTTGTGTATTGTGTATTACCTCTTTTTTTCAAGTGATTTAAATAGTTAATCTTTTAACCAAAGAAGATGTATAGTGCCTTAACAAGCAATTTCCTGTCAAAATCATTAAGTATTTGGAAATGATTCTCCTCTTAACTTTTTCTTCCCAGTAAACCTTACGGAAGTTTAGTTTAGTAAAATTAAGTATGTTATAAAAATTTTTTTAAACTACTACTTCTTTTTAATTAGAACAAAGCTGAAAACTGCTTTAGTTAACTTTTGGTCATTTGATTTTATATTGCCTTATTCAAAAATGGGGAAAGAAAGTCCTGACCAGGTATTTGCACATATGCCTTTTACAGATAAATACATCAGGAATCCATTCTTAGCTTTTCCATCTTTGCATGGATGTGTATACTTTACGCATCTTTTCTTTTCAGTAGAGAAATTATATGTGCCATGTGGTCTTCTAAAATCAGAACACCATTCTTCAGAGTAAACATTTAGCCTTTTGAAAGACAGTCTTCTTCCTCCTGTGTCTTTCCTACTGAAATATAGTACTATCTATGTTTCTTGATAGCTGTAGACATTTTAAAAAATCTCTAAGTACAGTATTAGGATTTTTGCATAAGTGTGGTGTTAACTACCTTGTATTTGGAAAGATTTCAGATTAATTCCATCTCCTTATATTTCTTTTATTTAAAGTTGGCCCATCTCTAATAAAAATATAGCTCAGTTCTAAAATCAATGCAACTTACAGATGGTTTAAAATGTTTCCGCATGGCTGAGGTGCAATGGCTCACACCTATCATCCCAGCACTTTGGGAGGCGAGGTGAGCAGATTGCCTGAGCCTGCAGGTTTGAGACCAGCCTGGGCAACTAGGCGAGACCTCATCTCTACAATAAATAAAAAAATTAGCCGGACATGGTGGCGTGTGCCCGTAGCTCCAGCTACTTGAAAGACTGAGGCAGAAGGATTGCCTGAGCCCAGCAGGTCGAGGCTGTGGTGGCCAGGAGTATGCCACTGCCCTCCAGCCTGGGTGACAGAATGAGACTCCAACTAAAAAAAATATATTTCTGCAAATTAGTGATTGTCATTTATTTCATTTGTACCTAAGAGAAAAGTAGTTTTAGTTATGTTTGAGAAAAGTATTTCCTTAGAATGGGGAAAAAAATCATGAGATATTGAGTTGTTTCCTGTATGTAGAAGTTGTTTATTCAAAGCTGTTCTGTTTTTATTTTGGCCTTTATTCTCTTCTTTAGGTGAAGAAACAAAGTCAAAATTTGAAGAGGTTTTTTGTGAATTTTGTCTTCTTGTCAGTGGAAATAACCATATGTACTAACCAAATTTCTGTGAACAATGTTTATATGCTTATTATTATATCTAACTATAACTACCCCCCATATGGTTATGAAAAGTAACCTGAAAAGATACTGTGACTGCCTTCTGCTATTTACCATCTAATAATCTTCCCATGTGGTGTAGAAGTCTTAAATAATAGAATTTTGCAGAAAGAGATGGATATAATCGCCTCAGAAGAAGTTTTTCGGGGGGTTTTAAAATTTTTCATTAGTAGATTTGGTTGGGGGGGATATAGCTGACCTTTTACTCTTTATTGGAGCCACTTTGTGTTCATTATTCACCTGTAAATTGTGTGATTCTGGATTCCTTGTCTTCTGTTCTTGTACTTGTCTCAGGCCAAATAAATTTATGCTGTGATTGTTATGAGACTTGTATGAAGATGCTCTGATTTGTACAGATTGACTGGGGGAATACTACTGCCATGTAATCTGTTTAGCTCCAGATAGCTTGCCATGAGCATTGATAGAATGACATATTTTGTATTTGTTTTGTTTCCTTTCGAGAGCATATTCTTCTGTAAGGAGAAAGATAGCATTCAGATTTTAATGCTGTTAAAATCTGTGGAAAGCAGGTTTACTACACTTAAAATAGTGTTACTTTTGTGGAAATTTTGAAATTAGCTTTTATCTGAAGTGCCTTAGGTAGACTCTTTCTTTACTTTTCTAGTAATGGTTTAAATATCATTTGTTATACATTTTAAAAATACTATTCAAAATGACGCATTGTAGTGGCAAAGATAATCAAATGTCTGACTGTTTGCTTTTTGACCATATCAATAAACTTTTACAATCAAAATTCTGAATTTTTGATTAATATCTAAAGAAGGATGAGTTTAAAACACTAAACTAGAATTATAAAATTTGGATATATCATTTTGAAGTTATAATAAAAAGTAATCTAAATTTCTTATTGTCCTAATGACAGTTTGGTAGGACAGTTTCTTTAAGTATTTCTAGATTGAGATGTATTCTTCCAGGAATCTATATGTGGTTGTTCTTTAATGCTGTCACCCATTAGGTTAGTCAAAACAGCCAAGATGAGTAGGTGAATGGCTATTTTCAATGATTGATCCACCTTTTGTCCCAGACAGTGAATACATCTTGACTAGGTAATTTCCTTTTGGTAATAAAAAATTGATGTGAAACAATTACCCTGGCAGATTATCAAGTTATATGAAACTAAATAATAGAACATTTGCAAATGTGGAGTAGAAACACTGAACAGGAAGTAAAGAGATCTGGCTTTTAGTCCTTTGTCTATTTTTGTCAAACTATGTTACTGACTATAGGCAGGTCACTTGAACCTCTCAGGGCCTATTTCTATATCCTAAGCAGAATGTATTAGACTAAATCACCTTAGTGTTTTTTTCCTGCTCTATGGTTCTGTTATGCAAAATATTAAAGATGTGTTTAAATTTTCAATAGATGGGGGAGGGGGAGGGGATTAACAGTAGCAAATATCTGTCTGGGGCTGGGAAAACACCTCTTATCAACAGGGTGTCTGAATGAAACGTAATTGTACACCTAATCCTTAACTGTACCCCACAAAACTATAATAAAAATACTGATTAGTTATTAAAAAAAAAAAAAAAGATATGCTGTAC